CACTCCCAAGCTACTACTTCTCAGTGAAGAAACTCACGCATGGAAGAAAAAATGTGCATTTAATCAAAGTTAAATGATATATATATATATATACATATTTTGTACCGAGGATTGAACTCAGGGTTACACAAACACTGAACCACATCCCCATAATTAGAGAAGGATCTTACTGAGTTGCTTAGTGCCTAACTTTTGCTCAGTATGGTTTTGAACTCAAGATCCTCCTGCCTCTTGCGCTGCTGGGATTACAGGCGTGTGCCACTGCACCCATCTGAACATACATAATTTTGTATGTTTAAACATGCATGTATTTATGGAAAGGTGTAAGCTTCAGAAATGGAATTGCTAGGTTAAAGAGTAAGTGAATTGTAATTTTAGTAGCTAACAACAAGTTTCTTTCTACAGGATTATATCAATTTTGAATTTCTATCAGCAATCTAGCAAGATGTTTCCCCAGAGCTTTCTCACATTCTCCAACTAAAATGAAGAGGAGAAAAACAACAACAACAGATTACTTGGGAAAAGTCACTGTGTTCAGCACTAAAATTAAAGGAAAATTTCTTCTGTGAATTCATATGAAAAAGACATTGAGTAATTGAGGACAAAAGCTTCTTAACCACATCCTCACAATTAATATTTTTAAACATTTAGTGGAAAGTTTCTCAGTGAAGTTAGTGGAATAATGTATAAGAACAACTCGTCCACAGCAATTTAATAGAGAAAAGAATGTGGCCCATGTACAATTTTCTTTCATGGCCTTGTTTAACCAAAATAAAACTTAGCATTAGTCAATACAATTATTATTATTATTTTTCAATTCTCAGATCCTTATAAAAAGATGATCAAAACAATGTGTTCTCAGATATAAATCCACCAACACACAGAAACACAAAATTTCATTCACAATTATAAAGGCTTAGACTCCCAAAGCCTCTAGCATAGACTGATTAGAGGGCAGTACACATACTTCTCTTTATCCCACCCAGATATTATATCTTCAAAACAAGATTTGGAGCATTGTTCAAAAACTGAGTAGTGTACTTAAAAGTACTTTGACAGGGTTGGAGGTATAGCTCAGAGGTAGAGTCCATGTTAAGCCTGCAGTGGGCCCTGGGTTCCATCCTCAGCACCAAAGAAAAAGAAAAGGGGGAAAAAAGATTCTGACAAAGATATGTGCATGAGGTTTTTCTGTGTTTACTTGTAAGAAAAGAAATATGCATTTTATTAATCATATGAATTGGGGAAAAGATCAACACATGCTAACATTTTTTTGGTCCCCAATTTTCATATGCCTGTGTCTAACTTTGGCTGCATAGAAATCCACTCCATGGCTATATATGAGCTTATATAATAATCTATAGTTGGATATTTGGTATGTTCCAAGATTAGTGATTCTTATAAATAAATATTTACATGCATTTCTTGAAGCAGATTCCTCCAGAACAAATTTCTAGAAGTGAAGTTATGAGATGAGTTGGTAAAGGAAGAAGCAACATCAAATGCTGAGTAAGGAGAGTGTAAGTAAGATAATGGGAATTGAACACCACAAGAAGGAGATTGCTGACTTTTATAAGAAAAATTGTAGAGGAGTAAAGGAGATAAAAGTTTCAATGGGTAGGTTGAAGAGAACATGGAGAAGAGGCAGAGAAGGAATTAATAGGTAAACAATTTGGAGCTTTCTCATGAAGGGATAAAAAACTTTGCTGTGAGTTTTGTGTAAGCAAGAGGAATTGTGATGCAGAACATGATGGTTAGCCTTGGATTGACCAAGGAGTTTTTTCCATTGAATAGGAATGAAGTAAGATAGGTATATGGTATACCTGTCTGATCCACACCGTTTTTTCATTAGAATAAGAAAGAACATTAATACTATGAAAAAAATCTCATAATATTTTTTGTTCTACCAAACATTGTTAATGGAAAATTTCCACCTTTGCACATTAAAGATTTTATTGGTTATAGTGGTCCTCTCTTTAGATAGGGGATGTAAGGCAATATTATATTTCTAAAAAGAAGGATATGACAGAAATTTCATGTGACTCATAAATCTTAAAACTTTTACATAATAACCTTTATAGTACATCCTATTGTAGATGTACTCTAATGTCCTTAATCAATTCTTTTGTTGATTTAAATTTAAGTATGTGGAATATTTCATTTTTTTTTTGCTTTTGACAATTCCACACTCTATTGCAATCATCATGCTGAGACATCTTCCACACATAAGAAAATATATCTATTGAACAATTTCCTGGACCTCATGTTGCCAAAGAATATGTGCATTAAAAATATCAATTTGCTGTCTTCATATCTATATTAATTTATATCCCCATAAAAAAGAGTGACTATTTTTTTTTTATCAGTTCTCGATATTTTAAAGCTTTAATTCCACATCTATAAGATATATAGAAAATGGCAACTTCTTTTTCTCTGTATTTGTAATTAGCTTTAAAAGTGGGCCTGCATTTCATATTTATTGATAATTTAGTTATTTTAAAAATTGTGTTATAACATTTTTGTGCATATTTTTGTTGCATTTTCTTGCTTATGTTGCTTTGCAATGTCTGCATTTTGCCAAATTTATCTCTTTGATAATCACATAATTTTATTTCGTTTCCCTTATCTTTTATTTGTATCTTTTTAAAATTGCTGGATTATATGATTAGGATTTATGTAGCTAAACTTATTATTCAGCTCCTGTAAGTTTCTTGATTGTACTTTAGAATAAAAAAAAGTTTTATAATTTAATGGGTTTCTTATTTCATTAGAAGAGGAATAAGAGGTTGAGGGAAAAGGAGTTAAACAAATTTTAAATTTCTACAGGAGAAAATAAGAATTTTTTTCTTATTATGTATATGCATAAGGTATGTTAAATCCAAAAACTCGACTAAACTTTACAATAACCCAGTGAACACTAATGGTGGAAAAGTTCAAAAGTGGAGGATTCATGATATAGAACCCAAGGAAATCTCAGGAAATGGTAACACCAAGTATTTCTGAAATTGAAAGTGTGGATAGGATTTTTCAAAAGAAGAAATGGTTGAAAATGTATATTGGGAGCATTTGGAATAATATCCCTGATTTCCTGAGCATCCAGAAAACTATCTTTTCCTCCTCCCAACAGAAAACTGAAGGTTTATCTTTGGACTGGTTAAACCAAGCCTTATCCAGGACAGGTCAAGCATGGCTGAAAAAAAAGGCATCAAACTGAAAACAGGAGACCTAAGTGAACATTTGCACTTCTCTTTATCTTCCTCCAGTTCCCAGAATTCTGAAATGTGATTTGTACTTTGTAGTGAAGGTTTTTTTTTTTTTTTTAAAGATTTTTCTCTGCATAAACTGAACAGCAAAAAACAACATATCTATATAAATTATCAGATAACATTTGTCTAATTATATACCTGAGATTTTTGCAAAACCACCCTGGTATTTTGCTTTCCTGCTAAGCAGATGTGTCTGTGCATGCCAAGTTTCTGCCCTACATTTTAGTGTTCCACTCTCATAGTCACCATGAATTTGATGAAACCTAACACCATTTGAAATCAAAACAAAAAGAAAGAAACTCAGAGGACATAGGGACAAGGCAAAATACTGAAAACAAATTTAAAACTGATTTAAAACTCATTTCTGAGTTTTTCTTCTATCCTTTGAGAGATGAGGCAACATATAATGAGAAGATTAAAGTGCTAAAAAACACATGGAGAGCAGGTGTGGTGGCACATGTCTGTAATTCTGGCGGTTCTGGAGGCTGAGGCAGGAAGATCATGAGTTCAAAGCCAGCCTCAGCAAAAATGGGGTGCTAAGCAACTCAGTGAGAACCTTTCTCTAAATAAAATACAAAAAAAAAAAAAAAAAAGGCTGGGGATGTGGCTCAGTGGTTGAGTGCCCCTTTAGAAATTTAAAAATTGTTAGCAGTCATTTAAAAAATCAGTTGGAGGTTTAGAAGATGAAGGTGAAGTAAGCTTTCTATAAGCAGAACACTCACAAAGAAATGTAAGATGAGAGACAAAATAAAAACAAACAACAAGAGGATCAATCAAGGAGTCCAACATCTGAATATTCAGAGAAAGAAAAAACAAGGAAAATAAAGGGAAGGGAAATTTCAAAGAAACGGTTTAAACTATTTCCCAGAGCTAACAGTTTTGAGGTCCAGAAGCCCTATTGAACAGTGGCTCAGTGATTGAAAACCCAGCACTGTTAGGCATCTTGGCATTTGAGAAACTACCATTTTTCTGTGAAAAGTAAAAGTTTTAATATGTTTAAAAAGAAGTAAAAGATTATCTCACCAAATTAAGGTAAAGAAGATTTCTTAAAACATAAAAGGCAAAATGTTTTTTAAAAAGGAATAAAGGTCAATAAATTTATTACATCAAAATTTTAAATTATGTATAATAAAAGATGAAAACATTTAAAAGAATAAAATAAAAAAATTTAAAAGCCTTAGAACTGTAAGCCATAAACAGGGATAAAATAGTTTCAAAGAACATAACTTATAAATAATTATTATCTAGAATTTATAAAGAACTATAAATTATTTAGAAAAAAAACAAACACTTTCACATATACATATACAGTGCCAATTGAAGGGTTATGGAAAATAATGTTCCTATAAGACAGCCCCTAGAAAATACGGAAAGATGCTGTGTCTCCAGAGGAGAGAGGAACTTAGCCAAACATTAAACCCCCTTAGTAAATTCTTTACTGGTAAAAATGGGCTGCGAGGGGAAAAAAGCAAGCTTTCATCCTTTCCCAGGTTCATCCCCAGCATCTGCACCAAAGGCAAACATTCATCCCTTCCCAATCCCAGTGGGTCCTGAAGGGAGGAGGTGGATACTGAAATGCTGGGCCCTTGACTTGGACCCCTTCCATTGCCAGTGAGTCCTGGAAGGAGAAAAGCAAACAGTGAAGCTCTGGGAAAAATGGATCCTAGAGGAAGAAGATAAGCAGTGAACACTGGGTTCTCAGCTTCTCCCAGTGACAATGAGTTTCGGATTTTTTATAACTTATTTCCTGACTGCTCAAACCAACACATTCTGCCTCAGTGTCCAATAATTAAACCACCCTCATTGTGAACTATAAAACTTAGAACCCTCTGTAACCGGGGAGCCATTACAATGCCTGATTGATTGACTTCGCTGGGGAATAAAGGAAAGCATGTTGATCTGTTTGAGGTCTGCTTCCATCTAGGTTATTTGTGTTTTCATAATGGTGCCAAAACTGTGTTGGTTATTTTTGCTTACACCAATATCAATAGATATCAATATATATCAATAGATATCAATAATGAGGATAGTAGAAGAACTACTAAAGTAGAATTGCCAAAAGGTGAAGAGGAAAATATTTGCCACCTAACAAATGATTAAAGGAATTAAAAAAATAAACCATAAAGGGTATCATATTTGCAAATTTTAAAAAAGTAATAAAACTAGTATTCAAGGATATGAAAAACTAGAAATCCTAATCTAGTAGAGAGTACAAATTTATTCTGTTAAGCTTTTGGAGAATAATTAGGAACTTTCCATTAAATATGAAAATGCAAATTCTCTTTGGCCCAACAATTTTAGTCTCAGAGAGTGCTGGGGCATGTTTCCAAGGATATGTACAAAAATATTTATTGTAAAACTACTTGTGATGTTGAAAAACTGATCACAATGCAATGACCACAGATAGAAGATAGAAGAATTAATAATTGTATTGGGGAATATAATCCAATGTTTATATAAAAGAGAAAATGTGAAGAGCCCATCATGCCAGAATAAATACTCTCTAAACATACAATTTGTAGGGAAAATAAAAA